ACCATGGGGCATACACTGTATTTTTTTTACGCAGTGTAAGATTAAAAATGTCCATGCTCAGAAGACAGTGAAGAAAGATACTTTGACCTGAGAGGTAGGCATCACATCACCTCTGACTGCGCTCTAGAAACACTGGTCCCATCTTGAGTGTTACCAGTGATTGCCTTGCGTTGCTACTAAGTGCCTACCTTGTACCACTGCTACATTTGAGACCAGTTGTGTCACCCATCACCTTTGCCAAAAGAATCAATCGCATTCAAGGCATTTTTGTGATGATGGAGACCGCGGAGTTTGAGAGGGGTCTGACCCACGGCGCGCTCACTAACTGAAGCCAGATTCCACTCCAACCTCAAGGGGTTCGTTTTAATTTTGCCAACGTAATGATTCAGTGTTTTCAGGTTTTTATTGTTCTTCAGATTCTAAAATTAGTTAGAATCTTTTGGTCAATGATGTTTGGTCTCAATTCCTTAGGTGTGCTGTTTTGTTCTACAGCTGGTTTGTGGATGTTCCTTTGATGTGCTAAGTGCCCCTCAAGAGGACAGAAGCTATTCGTTGGTGAAGGAGGTCATGGTAACAACCTTTAGGTGGTTTCTGGACTGTGCCCAGGCCAGAGGTCTGACAGTCCCACAATGACCTGAGCAAGTTACGCCTCAGTGATCAAGCTAAAATGTCTAGTTTGACCAGTTCTGATCAAGAAAGCCACTAGTTTGTGATGAGCTCATTTTGAGTTTCTAGTCACTTGTAAACAACGTGAAAACTAGCTGAGGAGCCTAGAAAAATCCCTATGGCTCTTCATTTAAAATAATGAATTGCTGTTTTGTAAATGCTGTGATATTGACATTCACTGAGAAGTGAGAACTATGAGGCTAGTAATGAAGCCCCCTCTGGCTTCAAAGTACAGAGCACTTTTTGTGTGTGGGAAAGTCCCATTTTGGGAATATAACATGCTGAGTAGCATGCTGAGTAGCCCGTTAGCAGGTTGGCATTGGTGGGAATGATGCTTTCTAAGACAGGGTTTCTTAACCTCTATGCATTTGAGGTCAGACAGTCCTTCGGTGTGGTGCCGTCCTGTGCATTGTAGGGTATTTTGCAGCATCTCTGGCCTCTACCCTCTGGATGCTGTAAGCACTCCTCACCTCCAAGTTGTGAGAATCAAAAGTGTCTTCACACATTACCAAATGTCCCGAAGGAGGGCAAAATTGTCTCCCTGTACCAGCTCCTCTTAAGAACCACTGCTTAAGAGAAATATGAAACCTAAGGGAAGAATCAACTTATTGTTAAAAAACAAAAATGACGAAAAGTCACTATTGGTCATAAGAAAACGACAAAAGGGGATTTTTGCACAGACCTGCTTTCTGGAGTCAAGTTAAGAGAAAACAAGGAAAGGAGAGAATTTTGTAGAACATTTTGCTTTCACATAAGGTAGTTTTTTTTTGTTTTTTTTTGTTTTTAAATGTACTTTATACAAGTTCTGGTAATACAGAGTACCATCTCCCCCAATCTTTCTTCTTCCAAAAAAAAAAAAACAAATAAATAAACCTGAAAGACTACTACAGACACAGACACAGACACAGACACACACACACACACACACACACACACACCCCAAACTAACTAGATGGGAAACCAGAACTGCTCATCATATAGATTCTTTGCTAATGAAGTTGTATTTTGATGAGGCGTAGCATAGCAAGTCCTCTGGCCCTTGATTATTCTAATGAACACATAAGTACTTGTGCAGAGTAATCTTTGAAGAGCAGAAGACTGTTTAATAAATACATTCTGAAGTCTTATTTAAAATCCCTAGAAGTGCTAGCAGCTGGAGTGTAGCATTTATGTCAGGTCTTCTAAGAAGTACTGGCTCCCTACACCTGTACTTTCTATCCTTGAAAAAACAGCTGCTTACCTGAAAATTCCGCATGTGAAGTGCTAATTTTACTCTTGCTTTTCCTCCAGGTCCTGTATAATAGAAAAGCAACATCTTTCTCTCTATTGGATTGTGGAATCACTATCTTCATGCTTCCATGAATATTTTGTGTTTTATACCAGCACTTCCCAATAGAAAGATAATGCAAATTACATTTATAGAATTTTTAATAATATATTTCATTTAACCCAATATACCCAAAATATTATCGTTCAACTTATAATCAATATGAAATTGAGATTTTTACATTCTTTAACATTAATTCTTCCAAAGCTGATTTTTTTAGTACCTCAGTGCATCTCAGGTCAGACTAGCCACGTTTCAAGCACTCAAAAGCCACAGTGGCCGGTGGCGACTGTATTGGAGTGCAGTTTGGACTCCATCATTCCCAAAGTTCCACATATATCTCCACTATAGGAGGTCTGTAAATGATACAGTGAGCTCGATTCTGCTCTGGGGGGAGGGGGCACTTGTTAACTGGAAAATCCATGGTATCAGGCTCTCTTTCATCAACTACTGCGTTCTGCTCTGTCCCCAAGAACATGTCATGGTGACATAGAGTACAGTATTTTGACTGGATTTTATCTCTGAAACAGATGTGGAGCTGTCCCTCTAGAAATGCAGTGGGCATCTGTAGAGGGTACTCAAAACAACGGGCCCCTTGCAGTACAGACAATATCCATTAGGGGGCCTTCTAGTCATGGTTGCCTAGTCCCAGACTGTGATAAATCACAACTTGGTAACAAAATATTGGAACCAGAACTTTACAGTTTATGAATAGAAGGTAAATTTTGGAAAGGCAATCTTTATGAGTACAAAATAAAATAAGCCTTTCAAACACATTTCTAGCTGTTTATCTGTTCACATCATCTCAACATAGCTTTTCTCTTAAGAGGTGTTCTCCCTGACTTTTGGCTTGACAATCAGCTGAGTAGGTCCAGCCCCATAGGGCTCACTGGCCAACTGACCTGACTCGCTAGAGTCGAGTGCATCAGTCTCCACTGTCTCTAGATCCCAGTTGAGTTATCCAGACAACTTTCTGTGTCCTTTTTCTTCTTTCAAGGTACTTGAGATCATGAAGGGGAAGAAGCATCTTCTCACTTGGGTTCCAAAGAGCCTAGAATGCAAATGACCCCTACCGCGTCCCTTCCTCCATTTTAAATTTATATTCAAGTGCCAAATAACGAATTTGCCTACTGCCTCTTTTCTCTGGCTCCTGGGAGGCTCGGAGCTAAGCTGGCAGGAGCTTAAAGCACGAGGTTGAATGGCTTGTTTTATAACCCTGTTCTCTTCTTGCTGAGCTTTCATTCCCTCTTCTAATTATTGTATTGTTTGCTATTTGTTTATAAGCCGCCCCAAATCATCCAGAAATGTGGTGACAGGGGTAGTGGGGGTAGGGGCGGGGGCCAAACAGATAGAATGCTTCAGTTTGTCCTCACAATGGAATCTTTCAGATATTAAGTGAAATTATTCCTTGTAACAGAAGTTGACTGGGGCACATTCTAACCGGCTTCATCTTACACAGTGATATGGGCAAGTCACATTGTGTAAAGTCCAAAGTCAGGAATTGTCTATCACAGAACTTAACACACAGGGAGAACACAGTAAATATTTTCCCAATTATATAAATATTTAAAGTTTTAGGAATCTCAAAAAGTACATCTTAGTTTGGAATATTCACTTGAACTACAAAGATTTGCTTGCTTTTAAGAAACAAAAACTACCCGTAATCAAGGGCTTAGGAACACATTAGAGTACCTGTCAAACATGGGATATCCCTGTTCTCAAAATCAAACGGACTCAATCGACCTGAACTGACACAGCAATAGAATAACTGTCTCTGGGCAAGTCACATCTGAGGTTAGTGACTGGAATTCTTAATTCAATGTGGAATTACACGTTTTCAAAGAAATCGTAACCATTAGCATAAAACTGCATTTCAATCATCCTTTTATAGTCATGAGTCTTTTCATGCCCAGGCTCCTCCCTTGGAATTAATAAATCCTCTTTGAAAACATTTAATTCAAACTAATTCTTAATTTCTCCTCAGGGTACCTGAGCACAAAAGAATAGACTGGTCATTTAATAGTCACATTGGCATCTTTCCACTTGATTTAGCTCCGCTCCACTGTGGCATGTTGTGTCAAGGAGGGCACGTTGACCGCAGAGCCTTGCGAGTGCCTCAAACTCATCCCATTTTCTTTGGTGATGCTACTTATTTACTTAACTAAGGTATTGTACAACTCTGGATTGCCATGGTATAGGGATGATTTGGGGGAGATGGAACAGGGAATGTATCAAACCTGGAACCATAAGACAGTATCCGAGGGGCAGCTTGCTCCTCCGGGTAAGCTGGCACCAAGCAGCTATTTGAAGCACCCAGTCATGGGGGGAGGGATCAACAGGCTCTGCAGGTTAACCTACTGCCTAGAGAACGAACTATGGCTCAATGCTTGGCCCATCCCTCTTTTCAAAAACATCCTTGACTATCCCGAGAAAAAGGGATAGTTTGGATTGATTCTTTCAGGAGTAAACTACATGACTTATGCATCTAGCTTTAAGATGACACAAGACCAATGACTTAGCACCTAGCACCTCACTTCATTTCTATAATTCCCTTGCTAGCCGGTATTGGCCAAGCCATTTTCTTGGAAGAGAATATTGCCAATGTGGAAAGTGAGGATGGGAGGAACCCAAAGCAGTGCTAACGAACGGGCAGAACTGAACTTTTACACTCCATTTCCTGCTGCCTGCCGTGTGGCCACCAGAATGGATTAAGAGACTGAGAAGTGCCACCCCACAGGTGAGATTTAAAATGCAGCCATGACGATGAATATGTTGTTGCCTGAAATTCCCATAAATAATAATTTTACATCCTTGATAAGTGAGCCAACATATACCTTTTGGTCCCATTTCTCAGGTGTTTACTGTGTGTACTAGTCACTTACGTGACTTACACCCCAAAGTGATGTTGATGTTTTTGCCACGTTTAACATCTCAGGAAGTCAAGTGCTGAACCAAGACTGCCTTCCCATAGACTCCATTGGAAATGTCATAAAGGTGCCAGAAAGGCTAAGTTTTTAAAGTCATGTTTATTGAAACTTAATTTACATTCAGTAAAACTCATCCCAAATTTTACCAAAGCACAATTACCACCAGAATTAAGAACGGCTCCTCAAAACTCCCTCGTGCCTTTTTGCAACTAACCCTTCCCTGGGGAATCCACTTTTTTTCTGTCAAAAGGGTCAAATATGAAGGATATAACTTAGAACAGTCAAAATAACTTCTGAATTTAAAATAACTTTTGTAAATTAAAGCACAGTTGACAAAGTTGTCTTAAGATAGTAGAATAGCTAATCTAGTTACTTTGTCAAATTGCAGGCAGGGGCTGGGTGATAGAAAAGCTCCTTTAAATAATGGAATTGAATTCTATATAAATTCTCTTTGGGGCAGATATGTTCTTACGGAGATTTGTCAACTTCTCAAAATTTACTCCTGCTACCGTCATGAAAGGGACAAAGAAAGCGAAAACTTCTCTATATGTCAATCATCACATGTTCAAATACACCTTATCTTCTTTGAAGTGACAATTCTGTTTTTCAAGCACCAGCCCTGTAAAGGAAGTATCACAGCAGGTAATTAGATCAGCAACTGCTAAATAAGACGTGTTATTAAGAAAACAAATACTTTACAAAACTGTAGGTAATAAAATTCCCCAACATATTACATTGTCAACTCAGACACAATGTTCTGACATGAAAACAATTTTTTTTAGTTAAAATCTTAACAATTCATCACCTCAGCCTTCTTTCTGGAAGACTCAAAATCAAAATGGCCACCAATGGAAAAGATAAACATTTTGAAAGATTAAATATCAATCACTTAAACTTTTTTAAAGTGGGAAGGGATGTGACTGCATTTAATAAATTCTTATAAAGTTGGCCTCAGGTAAATCCTTTAACCCATCAGAGCAGAAGCATATCTAATCAGATTAGAGTTCTCATCCTTGGCCAAGAATTCTATTCAACTATTTAATAACTCAGTCCAAATTCTCTCCATTTACCTGGTTTGTCAGCATCTTGAACTGGACTGAGCCTGGTAGAAAAATGAGAACAGTGTTAAGAATATCAGTTGGTAACTTTGTTTTGATAGTGACTTTTATTACAGCGACCTACTAGGTACCTTTGATGAAAAGCTACCTTTGAATAGAATTCCTATTTTAAAAAGCTACGTTCTGCAAATTTCCTGACACTTGGGAATTTCCTGTAATATCTGGCCAGGAGTAAAATGAATAGTTCAATAAGTCCCTATACTCTAGGATTCCACTTATTAGAATGTCAGCAGTCACCATCTTCCTCACTTTGTTACATTAGCATGGAATATCAGTTTTAGAAAAAATAAACATTACTGGCAACAGTATTTGCCTAGGAAAAACTGAAACAAATCTTTAAGAGAGTTAAAAAAGCAAAGGAAGCCTGGAAACTTGTTTACCCAGGGGTGGAGTTGAGAACAGTCCTCAGCACTTGCTCAGTCCTTAAATAGACACTGGCTCAAACCCCACTCTTTGAAGAGATGCCCGGGTCTCTCAGCCCACCTCCCTTTCTTAGATGGAATGTTTAAAGTTTGGCTCAACACTTAAGGCAACTGTAAAATAAAACCTGGGCATTGTATTTCCCTGTGTTGTAGGGCTATTCACAAAAGACTGAGGTATTGGGGCAGGATATTGTCTATTTGCTTTGGGTCTGTATAGATGGCTGAAGGGGGTTGCCTGGAACACAGCCTATAACTATGCCTTTTTTCCTCTTTATTTATTTTGTTATTTTATTTATTTATTTTTGTTTTATTTTTTTCAAATTGTTTACTGGGGTGACATTGGTTAACACAATTATATAATTTTCAGGTGTACATTATAATTTGACATCTGTATATTCTAGTGTTTACCACCCAAAGTCCAGTTTCCTTCAGCTACCATATATTTGATCCCTTTTACCTACTTCACCCTCTCCCTCCCCCTCTATATCCGGTCCACCACCCCCCTCCTCCCCACTCCCTACCTTCTGGAAACCACTAGTCTATAGTTCCTGTCCATGAGTCTGTGTCCCGTTCATTTGTTGCTTTTAGGTTTATATCCCACATATGAAGTGATAAGACTGACATCCTACTTGGTTGTCTCATCAGTAAAAAAGATCTTTCACAACTCTGAGGCCAACATGTAAACCTCACAAGCTTCACATTTCAAAAGATTACTAAGTGATACCTATGATAGTTACAATGATTCCTTCATTCACTTAGAACTCTAAATCTAAATCTTTACAAATTCCACGAAATTTGGACAGTAACCCTGTCTACAGCAGTTACTGGATACCACCAGTAACTAATACTTAACATGCCCCCCGATGCCGACAGGAGCCTCGCGTAAATTTAGTGCTTCCTTGAGACGAAAGGTTCTCCAGGGCAGCCTTGCACGTTTCTCTACCTTGGTGGGCTCCAGTGGTTCAGATTCTCCCCAGAACAGAAAACCAAGGTGGCCTCACTCCCTGAAAATGTTATCCGCTCCCGCCAAGAGTCACCCCAGACCTTTAAAAAAAAAAAAAGCCCAACTACCAGCACAGTGTCAACTGAAGGGCTCGGGGACGTGGCTGTGTGGGCGAAGTTAGCTCGGCTTGTTGCTAACACCGTTATGACAACGCTCCCCACGGAAGCTCAAAGCGTTTCAGATCGTGCCCTCACCCACTTCCCAAACCGGCTCTGTCGGAGTCACCAGAACCCCCGGGCAGGCAGGGCCGGGGTGCGCCAAGAACCCCGACACCGCCCTGGGCTCTGCGCCTCCACCCTGGGCCCGTTGGTTCTCGAAATGCAACTTTATATTTGAAAGGAGCGTGAAGCTCCCCGTGGCCCGGATCCCAGTGGCGCGCGGGCCACTGGGGGAGGGGAACCCTAGGCTCCACGGGGGTGTCCCCACTCAGAGGGGCCATCCCGGGGGCTCCCCGGGCTCGGCGGTCCGGACGAGGCGAGAACGGGGACAAGGAGGGGCGCACCTACTAAGTGTCACCGGGGAGACCCCAGGCCACGTGGCCGGGCCCGGCGTCGAGCCAGAGGACACTCACCGAGTCGCGCGCCGCTGCCGAAAAGGGAGGGCATCGGAGAGACCAAGTTTAAAAAGGGCCTGGGCCGTCAGCACCCGTAGGCAGCCAACCAAAAAGTGGCCCAGGCGCCCCTCCCGGCCGCTCCCCGCCCC